GGGAGATAACTACAAGCTTTTAACTTTTAGCTCAATTTCTGAAAAATCCTCTAATTCCACAACAACAAACACAATCTTAGAGAATTAATGTTTAATGTTATGGTTGCCATTGATTCTTCCCATGTTTTTATTTAATCTAATCACTTAACAATAAGCCACATTAGCTTCTTGAAGAAAACACTGACATAGCTAACATGAATATAGAAAAAGATTCTAATTTGTAGGATTGACAAAGAGTGCAAAGGCAACAAATGACTTCTTGAATGAAGTGTAAGATCAATTAAAGTATTTTAGCTCCTCTCACACCTTTTCATATTTTATTACTCTTCCTTTAACTTTTTTCTTGGAGGTAATGAATAGAAACCAAAAATATATATATTTTTTCATTAGTGTCCTAAAATGCTTGAGCTAAAGATACAGACTTGAAATTAATAATGATAAGAGCTCTAGATTGAAGTATGTTTTATTTTACCTCTTCATCTTTCAGTTATACTCTCAACTTCTTCACCAAGAAGAAAATTCGAGTCATTTTGATTACTGAAAATTCTCGGAAAAGAAAATGCAATTTTGTTCTATAACAGCAAATGATTCGAAGAAAGTCTGTAACAAGCATCATATTCTAACACAATGTATTTTCTATGTTCCTACAACCTCTAAATTACCTTCCCTACAAATGAGCTATGCTTCTATGTTGCCCGCCATGAATATGGTCTGAGATATACTTCTTCCTCATGTTATTATAAATATCTATAGCAAGTTTGCCCTAGTTTAAACTTAATATTTCCCAAACACCATTCACTTATTCTAAAATATATATACTATGTCATTCAAAAAATCTCCATTGTGCTAAACAACTTCCTCCATTTTTTCAGTTGAAAAAAATCACTATGAGGAAAGATTCTTCTACTTTATTATGCATCCGGCGTTGCACCTTCTTCCACCATATCATTCTTCATCTACCACACAAACTCATTTCTTCTTTGTCAGTCCAAGCTCAGTGAGAAATCCCCATCAAACTCTAACATGAATTAGAATCAATGTTGATGGAAATTATTATTAATCAAGAAGAACAAACCCTTTGAAAGAGTATTAAGAGGTCTAATTTGGATATTAAAATTCTTTTATGGACTCTCTAAGTTTATCAATTGTCAAGTATCATTTGCCCAATCTGTAATTTGCTTCAGCACTGAACATTTATTCATTATATAATTTATCCTCTTGATCAAAGTTCCATTAGGTCCCTATTTCCATGGAGAAAATTGTATCCCACTTATTTCACTTTGACAAGAGGACATACAATAAAATCAATAATTGCCTTTTAAAATCCTCTACCTATGATCTCCAAAAATATACTCAAAAGTCGAAACTTGCTAGTTGCCAAGGCCACTAACAAGTGTCTATGCGTTGAGGGTCCTCCATGCAAAGGTAGCTAGATGTTGAATCACGTGCAAGCAATGGTCAATTCTTCAGCTACCTGATAATAACATGTAGTCCACCTTTAAAAAAAGTGAGTTAGCTTGGGTTCCTATCCATCAAAAACCTTTTCAATTTTCAAATACCTCATACAATACAATGAGAAGACCCGAGCTACTATCAACCTTAGGATTTTTCATTTATAACAATTTTATAAAACTACATATACCAGCACAACTAAAGGGTGTTCTAACCCCAAGTGAATGGAAAATCAATGATGATATAAGACTTCATGCTGTCCTAAAAAAGATAGTAATTGCATCAAAGTGATAGGAAATACTTGAGATCGCAAGTAGCCCTAAGGTCATACTTGAGTTCGCAAGCAAACCTAATCGAATTTGGTGAGAAAACAGCACACAAACTGCTGTTTACAGCAGAAATTCAGCAACACACGGCAGATCTCTTCGGAAAAACAGTAGAAAACTGGGAGAAAACCAAGGATTCCACTAGTAGATGCAGGAAAACAGTAAAAGATACACGTTTCTTCAATTCGAGAGGAAGAAAAACCTCTCCGATTCTCTAGCCACGCCTAGAGCCCAAGAACACAAACTCTAGATCTCAAATTCTTCCTAAATTCAAGATCAAACCCTAATTCTAACATTAACCATTAATTAAAGACAAAGGAGCATTACAAATTCCCTAAACAGCCACTAATTCAAATTTTTCCCTTCAAACAAGCATTACTCAAGGTGTGGGGCCCAAAGGAGCGGCCGCCCCCCCCCCCCATCCCTCTACTCTTTCTCTCTCTCTCTCTCTCTCTCTCTCTCTCTCTCTCTCTCCTTGCTTGGGCCGGCGGTGGTAAACCCAAATTGGTCCACTAGGGACCGGTTCAGGTAAAGCAGATAGCCCCTCCTGGGCCGGTGTAACACACAAAGTCGACCCAATATATATATGTCTAGATTATTAAGATGTTATGCATAATAATAACAACATCCAACAGGGGGCGAATTCATAACTTAAATAAGAATAAGATGAGGCGTAAGCCTCATAATAAAAGTTCGAGGCGTAAGCCTCGAGGCGTATTTCACTGAAATTGCGCTGAGGCGGGCCTCAAGGCGAGCCTCATATTGCGTAATTTTAAACAATGGGTGTAAGGAATATAAATTTTCTTATTTGTTTGTAATTTATATGCTCCGAGACACATTACTTATTTTATAATAAATAGTCCTTCAAAATAACATAATGATACCATTGCCTCCAATTACTGCAAGAATAAACACCAATTACGAAGACATTACCTTTTACATTAGAGTTGTAGAATCTAGCAACAACAAGCTGTCACTCAAACTATCTCATATTAGCATTCAATCTCAATTATTCCACGAAATTTACATTGTCTTATAGGCCACAATAATTATCAACTTTTCACCACACCAACTTCTCTGATACACTATTCTAACTTCTCTTCTACATACTTGGTTGAAATTTCCACAAGTGTTATATAATCATAATCCACTAGAAGCATCATAATGATCCTAAAAATCTAAAGAAATGAGTGTCTCGCCAATTATAATAGAAGACTTATCAAATTTTGCGCAGACTATATTATCAACCCTTCCATCTGTCTAGCAACTATTATAACATTATTCCTTCATATTCTGACATTCCAGGAAAGGCACGAGAATGTTGGTCCTAAAATGCTAATTAAAAATTGACATTTTTAATTACTTCAAATAATTTAGAGGAATATTAACGAAAGAGGAAATGATAAAAATGATAAAAATGATAAAGAGATATATCAAGATGTAGAGAAAGATAAGAGGAAAGAGGGGTGTTAGAGGAAGGATCTTAGCATATGCACTTTACTCCTAAGATTTATGGTATAAAGATTTCATCACTGATTATCTTTTCCATCAACCTTATTTATGGACATAGGCTACAAGGAAAAAAAGACCCTATGACTAAATTTATCATGTGAGTGTACATGTTCATAATGTGTAGCCTTCAAGTGCCTCCAAACATTCTATTCAGTCCTTTATTGTAGTTCTTCGAGATCTTCTTTGCTTGGTACTCATTGGCCACATGATGACTCTACTCAACAATAGTCGAGCTATCAAATGACTATGCTTGATACTAGTCAAGCTAACTCCTTTAATTTTCTAGCTTTTCCTGGACTTTATCTTTTACATTCATCTTGAAGGTGAAACAGTCGTGAAATCATCAAAACTAATGACTTGAATTAGGGCACACAAGTTCTATGTATTTTTTAAAGGATACTAACCCCAAAGGGGATGCAACTACCATGATATTTATAGAATTTTAAGAATACATCAAGATATGACACAGGTTGCCAACATCAGAAGGATTCTCAATAGAGAAACTAAGAGAGAATAATTAGCAATGACATCTACTTTTATTATTAAAGAATACCAAATATAATTTATGTTTTTTTCTATTTGTATGATGACTTTCATAAGATATTTATTTGTTATGGTACTGCTAAAGTTTATACTACCACCCACTATTTGCTATTCCTAGAACATGTTTCCATCATGGTCCCACCATTAGAGCCTCATTTTGAGCTTCCAATGCTTTAATCCAATTTCAAAAGCTGATCATAGAATGGACACAATTGATCAAAATTCTAGGACCTAAGAGTCATCCGAATTACACTTGGGATATTATAAATAAATGGGATTTTAACTTACTTTTTATATATATAAACAAAATGGAAATTGATAAAGTAAAAAAGGAAGCCATCATAGAATGGACACAACTGATTAGAATTCTAGAAGGACTAAGAGTCATTTGAATAACATTTAAGATATTAGAGCATGTGCAAAAGGTTTCCAGAAAACACATCGCTCATTAAAGCACACATCCGGTACATGCACATAGCACATCATGTCAGTCTACTGCACATGTACTTGCAAAGCAAATCGACGTAAGTGCTACTAGCAAGGCACTCCAACAACATTAATTTCACATATACAAGCCTCCTAGGCGTCGAGTTACCTTCCACCAACCCATGATAATTGCTTTATATTGTCTTCTATTGGCCTAACAAAATATGTGAAAGGAAATCAGCTAATGCCTAAGTCCATATCCTAATCATCAAAGGTATAACAACAACTGCGATGTAATTCTAGTTATCAACAATAACAATGCATCAAGCATCACTTAACGTATTCTAGACAAAAGGTTTGTATCGTGTATTCCTTCATCTGCTTTCAAAGATGCGTGGATGGTCAATTTCAGTTTTTTTCTCCGTTTCATAATAAGTATGCTTAAAATTATGGCACAGGCATGAATAATCAACATACCTTACATGAATAACTTCAAAGAACATGTAAGATAATAACAAAATCCAAATAATGAACCATGTTCAGCTCTCACAACTCATACCCAACAACAAAAGTATAAACAAGAGCAAATATCTTATGGCCAAAAAAGGAGGGCCCTACATCCATAAAAGAAAATAAGAGCACTATAGTTAGAGCAAGTGATTAAGACGCAATTTCTGGAAACAAGAAAAAGCATAACTATGAAAACACTGCAACTCAATCTTTCCAAAAAAAACAACTTACAAAGGTGGCTGTAAGAGATATATTTTTTGTTTTCCGACTTAGCAAATGTATAAGCATCCTCCGTTAGCCGTTTCAAGAACATCTCCTACACCACCGGGGGAAAAATACATCAAAAATGGATACCGCATAAATCTACTTCGATAAGTTAAATTACAAGCACGTGATTTCCAGAAAACACACGAACTAGCATCAGAGAACAATTAAATGCAGAAACTATAACCAGGGAAGCAAATAAGAGATGAAGCTAAGATCTAGGGCATGATCATTCATAACCCTCATTTCTCCCAGTGTGTTCGTGGCTCAGTTTACTAGTACCCGATGATGTGGTGCTAAAGATGATTGGCAAAGAGAAGAAAGGGGAGCAGAAACACATACAGACGCTTTGTTGATTATAAATACGGCATCGGCAGTAGTGCGAATTTCTGCAGCAGCAGCAACACCGCACTCACCGCGGACAAGGCGCCACACGCGGCTCATGGGAAAGCTACAGAAAGCGCCATCAGAAGCCAAAGCTGTCGCCGGAGGAGATGAAGAGGAGGAACCACCGGAATCCAAACTCTTGCTGGACTTCTTCTTCTTGGTCGGCGTCTCAGCATCGTCCATTCCACCAGAACCCTCCGCCTCCTTCCTCTTCCTCTCCTTGGGCGACGATGCTGACTTCTTCATGGCAAGGACACTTGACAATGTGATCGAGCATGAGAATGCCTTGGTTTTAGGTTTTTTTTACAACTTTTTTTAGTTTTTTAGCATAAAAACTTTTAAAAAAATTTAAAAATTTTTTATTAAAATTTTACTTTTAAAAACAGTAAAAAGATTATTCCAAATAAATTCTTAATTATTTTCTCTGACATTTAAATAAACTAATTTAATTGCAAATATAAGAAAGGGAAATTTGAATGTATAACCATTGCATAATTGATTAAATATATCACCAATTTATCCTATTAGAAAAATATACCAAAAATTTATTTTAATATAATCAACTATGCTTTAAAGAAATAAAGTTAAATTCCTGGTGTAAAAAGGCTTGAGAATTTTCTAGCAAGAAGATGATCGACCATATATATTTGTTGCGTCCAGGAGTATTCGCGACGGTAGAGAAATACAAAGTTTATCGTCTTAGCGTTGTACGAAAATCCGGCACGCAAACAGATAAGAGAAAGGATCTAGCATTTATGAGACACCAAGATTTTTACGTGGAAAACCCCTGAAAAGGGGGAAAAACCACGGGGCCTAGCCCTGTTTAAATGAATCCACTAGTATTGCAGTCGATTACAAATGAGGCCCTTCCTTGGTGGAAGGTCTTAGCTTGATGTACATCTTATGGAGTACATTACATGATGTTGATACAAAGAATCACTATTGACATGTTCGTTTGGTAGGGAGGACAGTAGTCGGCGGGCGATGTAAGTAAGGAGGACCATAGTCGACATTTGGAGGCCTTAATGATGTCAGAACTCGGCGATCTTGGGTTCGTTGGATTCTTCTCGTCGAGCCGCTTGATTCGAGTATAAGCTCGTTAAAATCAGAGATCGTTTGGTAACTCAAATTGCGGTTCGAATCTTCCAACAGTGCCTTGGGTCCTTGATCCGGACTCATTTGGGCTCGGATTGGGTTGAACTTGGTGTCGTTGGGTTCGTATTTCCAAGACGCTCAGTTTGACTGTAGGCTCGCTGAAATCGAAGTTCTGGTGCTTCCGAATTTGATTCTTGAAGTTTCCAACCAGCTTTTTGCATCGAGATTCGTGCCCGATCAAGGTAATTTTCGATGCCGTATCAATATTCATAAATTTTTTTCTCATTTCTATGATTATCACTCAATAATAATAATGTTAAATATTTAGTAATTCATATTTGAAATTATAATTTACACTCTAAAACTTGAAAAAAAAATGATATGGAACAATAAATTACTTGCTACAAATATATTTGAACCAACTTCAAATCATGTTAAAATTTAGATTATTTGATCCCTCGTTTAGGGAGAAATTATTCTGTTACGAGTTCGGTCTCAGAACGTCGTCCAGAGATCAACCAAAATGTGTCATGTCAGCGGTACCGAGTGAAGGGGTGATGAGGCACATTCTAGTTGGTCTCCGGATAGAGTTCTGCGTCCGCACTGAATAATTAATCCAAATGAGGACGGTTCAATTAAGATTTGAATAGGTTTTGAAGCAAGGCTCGAATATAGTTGGATTAAGATTCAAACAATATTAAAAAATGGTTTAACATAATTAAAATATAGTTGGAATAAGGTTCAAACAATATTCAATCAAGGGTTAAAAATGGTTTGAACATGATTTGAATGATTCAAATATTATTAATAGGGTTCCCATTAATTAATAGGAATATATTAAAAGGAAGTTTTACTTGACTATAATAATGACTAAGATGTTAATATCCTTCAAGGTTGAAGCAAGGTAAGTCCCGAACTCATGACTTGCTTCTTTTATGAGCCTTTTCACTAGCTTCTATAAATTGTGAGTCTGTTGCATTGAATATTATTTCTTTTGTTATTTATTCGACAGGCGGCAATACATAACTTGTTGAAGCATCATAATAAGAGAAAAAAGTAGCAATGAATTTGCATATTTATGAAATAAAAGATAGAAGTATCACTGATAGTGACTGAAATTATTAATATAATATTGAAATATGAATTTTTTAATAATCCTAAACTTAGCAAGCAAAATTTAAATAAGTTTACTTATACAATTTCAAATGAAAGCTTCCACAATGTATATGAGCTGATTTACCATCCTATCAAAGTAGGAATCAAAGAAATTTGGCCATTCTTGATGGCTACAATTTCATTGGAAATTTTGGATTGGTTGCTTGCTCCTCTATGAGTATGAGCATAGTAGAAACAGCGAAAAAATAATAAGTGATGATGAATGCTAATGTCAGTTGGTGTCCAAAGGCAATCGATTAAGCTATGATGGTAGCTAATGTTGATTGACCTCAGACGATTGTGAGCAAAGAGATAGTCGTAAAGTGATAATGGATGTCAACATTGGAAGAACAGTTGGGTGATAGCAAATATCAATGTTGGTCTGCAGAAGGTGATGATAATCGACATATAGTAGCAAGGTGATGACAATCAGTTGACGACAATTGGGTGACAGCGAATAGACAATGGCAACCAAACGATCATAGTTGTTGGTGATGATTATTGACATTTATTAGCAGAAAATTTTAGATTTAGAATTCTTTTTGGGATTTATTATAATTTTTTTCATTAGCATTTATAAAATTATTATCAAAATCTTCAAACATTTCATATTGATTCTTTTAATCATATGCAACTATTTAGACGTTTAAGCACCTTAATGAATTAGCATCAATCAAATATGAGTGAAATTATTCTGTGCGGATATGGATGCCGTCCAGAAGCGAAACAGAGCGCGCCACATCAACCCTTTGCTGTGTACCGCGGCTGTGTACCCGCTGTGTACCAGGTGATGTAGCAAGCTCTGATTCACCTCCGAATGATCCGATGTCCATACAAAATAATTTTTCCAAATACGATGATTTATGGTGGAGATCCTATTATGATTAATTTATTAAAATAAATAAAGAAAAACGTAGTAGTAGACCAGTTCAGCTGCCCAAAAGGTGGACGGCCGATAAGCACTGGTTCAAGAATTCTAAGCCGACACGATCATACCATGCGCCTCTTGACCACTCCTTTCGGCTCCTTCTGCGACACCAACGCTGCCAAATCCATTGCTGCTCCTCGCAATAACAAATCCAGCAAAAACAGTATTTATCGCTATCAAGCCTGCGTCTCTGCTCCGTACTCGTCTTCCAACCCTGCTCGAGCTGCAACTTTTTCCAGGAACGCTCGTTTCTGCTCATACTTTCCCACTGTATTTTCAGGTGATGAACAGATAACCGAAAACCAGAGGCCGTATTTCCTCTACTCGGAAGTCTCGTTTCACTTTTGTCGTTTCGATTTCTGAATTTTGTGGCATGTATGTAAAATTCCCCTTTTTTTGCTCTTCCGTTTGCTGGTTGTTTGTCATGGTCTGTATTAGAAAATCCTCCGCTATCAATTCTTTTGACCCTGGGGTGTGTTTGACTAGAGGGCTGGTGTTTGGAATTACTTTGAGTGATATAAGTGAAGGGAATTAATCAAAGACGTCTGAGAAGCAGTTTCTTCTTGATTTCTTGATGGATTTTTCTCTTAGGGCTTTCAAGGCTTTGCTGGATTGAAGGAAATGCAAGAAAGGAAATGTGATAGAAATGACAATGAAAATGCTATAGGAATTGAGTTACAAGTTGAAACTTGTTTTGCCTAATTTGATTGATTGGGGAGAATTTAGTGATATTTTTTTCTTTCTTTTTTGGATGATGAAAATTAATTAAGATTTTCTTTTTTGGATGATGAAAATTAATTAAGATTTTCTTTTTTGAGAGGAGAGGACAGTGAATCACAATGATGACTTAATAAAAAATAAACTGGAGAGGAATTGAACCTGCTGAATTTGCTTGTGCTTGAATCGTCTAGCATATGGGTGGGAGATAGAACTAGAGAGAGGGATGGGCCAACGACATAACAATGTGCATCGAGGATGATTGGGTGAATGGGGCATCGATGTTCAAAGTTCTGTGAAGCACAAATGGATTGAAGAATGTTGGGTGTGAAGTGCTAACTATGAAGTTCTATTGGTCCGTCGGGCTAAGGGCTTGGGAGGTGCGATCGTAACATTGGGAGTTAGAAATTAGAGTTTATAAATTTAACTTTTTTTTTTAATATAAACCTTTTATTTTACAATACGATCAAAATCAAACAATGATAAATTAATCAATATTGGAGCAGGCCAGCAGGAAAATGATTTTGGGAATAGATCACAAGCTAGGGGATCGGTTCACGATTGAATTAGTCTGTTTGACTGATTAAGTCCAAATTTTAAAGGCATGATTAGATCCAATGTTATTTATAGAGTTACAATAGGAACTTACCATGGGTTTAGGTTGAGTTTAAGGAGGTTTAGAGAGAGAAAATAAACAAGAAATTATAGATCAAAGATTCTACTATTATATGAGAATTATAAAAGACCTTATTGACCCCTTAGAGAGAGCGAAATGGTACGTCAAATGAAGTTATAGGGATTTTAAAGATAAATGCTTTTGGAAAATCCCATGAAGTAAGATCTGATTAGAAAAAAAGCATAGAATGATATCATGTTATGCCCTAGATTTTATATGCGTACAAATGACCAATGATCTTTAATTTTTCAGGTGTATGCCAATGTTGACAATATATGATAGGCTATAGAAAACTAACTAGAAGTTTATGAATTTTCTTAGTGTTGTAGCTATTGTTGCAACTAATCTAGACTGCATGCTAGGTAGGATCTGATGGATGAGCCACGAGAGGGCGAGTACTCCAATCAAGTAGTCACAACAAGAACTTTGATTGAGTGTTGGCGAGAATCACTAATCGGTCGGTGAGTACCCTGGATGAGTTGTGGAGGTCTAGGAAGACTTGGCTTTGTTAAGGAGGTGATTTTTGAAGTCCCTTAGTCGAGTTCAATATATGAGTAGTGAGGTCTAAGTAGGACTTGTCAGTCTAATTGACTTGATAAATTTTCACTCCTATCGAGTAAGGATTGTAGGCAACTCAAGGCCTATGAGCGATTATTCATAATGACAAAGGGGAACTGATCTTGGCTGGATGCAAATAAATTGAACACATGGACATTATGCAGGTGAAGATTCTTACAGTCATGGATCTTTGAGGCTTGCTTGAGCTATGGATGTTTGATATGAGAGGTGTCATCATTGAGGGGGATAACATCAATGTAATTTTGATGGTTCCAACGCTCGATGGATCAAGCTAGATAGGGTAATCAACCCATGGAGGGTCCATATATATCCTTTATGACAATTTTCCAACATGTTCTTTTTTGCTATATCCCAAGTGAAAGTGTGGGCTCCGAAAATTTGGCCCCGGCCCTCACCCGACTTGCTTTTTCTTTTGTTCGGGGCAGTTTTAACGGATTAAGTTCCGGGGTAAATTTTGGAAGGCAGATGAGTTTGTAGATAAGACACTACCCAAAGATTTCGCCCTCATTTTGCAAGGACTTTATGATCTGAGTTCTGGTTTCTTATAGGCGTAAGCCCCTATAGTTAATTACACCTCACGGTAATGAGAGAGAACTTTCAATTAAGGCTAGTCGTCGATCAAATACGTTATATCTGTAGATACTTATTATCAAACGTATAATACTATAGTAGCAGCATGGGCTTGGAAATTTGGAATTTGAAGGGTTTGGATGTTGGAGGTTCAAGGTTTGATATTTAAAATAAAAAATTTCACCATCTTGCACTTAAAGCGGATGGTGGGGAAATAGATGATGGACCCGATTAAGATCCCATGATTCTGTCATATCGGGCCATCGTTGTCCCTGGTCTACTTAGTCAGAGGAGGTAGTTGACCCAACCTGACAGAAGGATCCTTGTCAGCTGCCATGGGTTGCTTCATTCAAGGGGACCTTGTAGACCTGGGGTGGATATTTGCCTAAGGGGATAAATTTAAATCCACCTTAGCTAATAAAGGGCTTTATACCCTATCTATTATATCCTATTGATTCATATCTCAAGGATTTGATTTCACTAAGGAGCGTATTGACTCTGTCCATAACTGGTATTTCGTGGTGTCATTTGGTGACAAAATCATTTGGTTCAGAGGGCCCCAAGTCATAACCATTTATCCTGCGGTGCCATTTGACGGCAAAACCGTAGGTTATAGGACACGTACCACATCCTTATTGGTAAAATATTATTTGAGAATGAATCCTATTGATATTTGAATTCACTTACTAACCCGTGCAGCATCCCTAGACGTCACATGTGTACTCATAACATGCTCATCGGGGCCAATTTGGATTTTGTGATTGCACTTACCCTTTTTTGTACCTATATGTATACAAAGTACGGTGCATGCACGGGGGGTATTCTTGGAGTATTCAATTGGTTTTCTATGATGACTTGTAGAAGTTTGCGCTTGTTGTAGTACTTTAATATTTGTGTGTAGAAAGTATCTTGGATGCACGACTATTGTTCATCAAGAAACTTGCAAGCCTCAATAATCTTATCCAACTCGATGTTCAGAACCTGAACGAACTGAGATTCACTCACTCCATAATGATCTGATCTGGATTTCTCTTCCCAAAACTCATATAGAAATTTGTAGGCAACACCCGATGCCTTGTATTTCGAAGTTGATGGCCACTGTCTTGAACTAACAATCGCGGCAATCAAAGATACTTCGAACCATCTAATATAGTTGTGGGATGTACCCATTCCTAAAATAATTGTTGCAGTTTTTGAGATGACTTGAATGGCATTATATTTTTCATCTGTAATTATGAGTTTAGGTCACTAGATTACACTAATCTTTGACAATACATTTGTCAAATATTGATCATTAGCTCCAGTGGGCATGATGCAGTGTATACTGACATCTACTTGAATGCATCTAGATGTATCACGTTGTTACTTCCAATGCATTTTGAATCCCTTTGGCTGCAACTGGCATGCTGAATGTGGATCTTCTAGTGCCACTCGTAGGCATTCGTATTTGGTGTAATTATGTTGCATTTTGTTCGTAGACAGTAGATTGGATGCATAGGGGGCCTTCCACGGTAGATTGTGGGTACTTGCATTTGCTGTGCATTGCCCACCCTCACTTGCTATGGATCTGCACATTCATCCTTTTCACTTAGACGAATTTCTCATTCATTCCTCCTATTTGGAATGAATTTCAATTGTTCTACAATATAGTTAAGGATCCCCAATTCTTTCACCAATAATATTGTGAATCTCGAGAATAAAGTTACTCGCGGCAGAAGACAATTGGTGTAGTATAATTCCACCTCAGCTCTCCGTCATGAGTTGTGGTCACTCATAGGTGACTTGTTGCACTTATTATAAACTCTCTTATGTTATTAATAGATCACTGCATTGTAGATTCCTTGCATCAAGAGTATGGATGATATCTTTTCCACATCTTTCTTGCATTGGTTTGCAGGGTGCTACATTCATTGTATATGAATTGTTGTTGTTCATGGGGATCTACCATTATGTCTAGTGTGTACCTCTTGCACTTAATTAGGAGTTGCTATCTCACCACTCATAACTTCATTTTAAGCATGATATCGAGCTTCTTCATGCTTGGTTCCAACTCCACATTGTCATGAGATTGGTTCTATATGGTTTGTTCATTCGAGTTCAAATCTCTTATGATTCATTCAAATTCTTTGTGCCATAGTTTGACTTGAATTCTTATGGATTATTCAATTCAAACTGAGCATAATTCATTATCAAAACCCACTTGATATTGCATGGTTCAAGTTCAAAATCTTCAAGTTCCCATGCACTTGGCTCAAGTCTTGCTAATTCATTTAAATTTGAGTTAGGTTTATGCTCAATTCAAGTTTGAATTAATGTTTAACTTTGTCTCACTTGAGTTCAAAATCTAGTTCAAATTTGAGTCCAAGTATAGTTCAGGCTCGAAGTGAGCCTCTTCCGTTCGTTTGAGTCCCCTGTGGTCCAACTCAAGTGTTTGCTTGAGTTCAAATATTCAAGCCATGCTTAATATGCAAATCAAATCCAACTTGAGTTCAAGTTCAAGTGTAGTTTTTTTTTACAGTTTATTTAAGTTTGATTTCTCTTGCATTTAGTTCATTTGAACTTGAGCTCCCTTGCATATGATTCAATCAAGTTCAAATTATGTTCCAAGGTTCACAAGTTCGAGTCCAAGTTCTTGTCCTTTTGAGTTTAATCAAGTCCAAGTATGATCTCGTATTCACCCGAAATTTTGGTAGCTTCCCGGCATCTCCCCCGTTTAGGAGAAACTTGGCCTTCCCACCACGCACAATAAAGACGTGTATGGTAGGTGTCCTTAGACACCACGGTTGTGATCTTTATTCCCACAATGCGCAATAAATGCATGTATGGGGTCTTCGAGGGTACCTGTTTGAAAATACAGTTTGCTTTCCCCCCGCTCGGAGGTACTTATAAATAACCCCGTCTCGTCGTAGGTGTCGCACCCGGGTCCCGTCCCACCACTCGCAATAAAGGTGTGTATAGGCTGTTTTTCGGTGCGCCACGAGCG